TCAGACACATGATACTCACTAGCTGTGTGATCCTGGGCAAGTCACTTAACCCCAACTGCCTCAAAAATGAAAAGAAAATAGCCAGCACAGAGAGGTAGATCACGTGAGGGTTTTTTAAGAACGGGGAAATCATGGAAGTGTTTGAAGGTAGAGGAAGGAGCCAATAAATAAGGTCTGGCTGAACATGAGAGACGATGAGGATGCTGGAGGGGACAATCTGCTGGAGAAGACAGGACGGGATGGGATCAAAGGTTCAAGGAGAGGGTCGAACTCTCCATATGAAACAAAGGTGAAGGAGGAAATGGCGGGGTAAGATGTTTAAGTGATGTGAGTTGAGGAGGATGGAAAAAGAGAGTTCTAGATGAATGGCCTCAATTTTTCCAGTTAAATATGAGGTGAGGTTCTTAGCTGGCAGATTGTGGGGAGACATGCACTGGATCTGGACTGGACAATACATTTGAACAGCATGAACCTCAAAGGAGAAGTTCTTAGTGACAATGAGAAGAACAAGAGGTATTCTGACTCCTCCATCATAACCAGTGAGTATAACAAGTGTGGGAAAAGATGGTCAGAGATGTAGCTTCATGAGGAGGGAGCCAAATCTCAGTGAGTACAAGAAGATGGAAGAAGGGAGAGGAGTGTTCCCAATATCTTTAGTCCTTCAGAGGCAGTAGTGTTCTATGTCTTCATTTCCATACAGCAACTTTGGAGTCAGTAAAAGAGCTTTGCAACTCCCTGAAAGAAATCCAAGCTCTCTTTCCTCCTCCTAGGTAATTTGGGGTGCAGTTCACTGTCTATTTGTACTGTCTGACCTAAACATACAAATTGTTGAACAAGCTTTACAGAGTGTCCATCCAAATGCATGGTTAAATCTGGGCAACAGATATTCTTCATCCACTTGGTCTTACCTGTGTGGAGGAATAGGTCTGAAAAAATCAAACTGATTCTGATTCCATTTTGTAATTGAGTCTATTCTTTATCACCACCAACATTTTATATAACTACCTAAAACCACATTCCTTTGTGTTTAAGTTCATAAGTTTAAAAGTTCAGCTTTGCTATAATGACCAGTTTTCCTCTGAGTTAAGTTTAAACATTCATCTGTCCTATAAATCACTTTTAATTGGAAGAAACTAATTTTCTCTATATCACCAGTTGTTCTTGACCAATTAGAGGAAATCTGTCATCTCTTTACCGCTAGTTGTCCTTGTACAATTAGAGGAAATATGTTACCTATATACCAGTAGTTATTCTTGTAGAATGCAGGTGGGTTAAATGGACCTGCAATTTCCTGTGACAGGATGGAAGGAGGGGTTGTTGCTAGCCCTGCATTCCTGATGTCCAGGTGATAGCCAGGGGACAGCTAGGTGGCACAGTGGATAGAG